ATAAAAAAAATATATAAAAAACTGTAACATCCAATTAAAACTGCTGGTTTAGATTGTACAATTAATACATGCTTCTTACATCAGTTGTCTTTGAATTTTCAAGCCTGAAAAACAAACAAGAACAATAAAACTGATAAAACAAGAGAAAACAGTACAATAATTTTAAAATGTCTTTTAGTTGCATTGTGGTAGCTGTGTCAATGTCAGGCAACTGCAAAAGAGAAGTAAGGGAAAACTGGCAAATACTTCTCAAAATCGATGTTCTTAACATCCAAGCCAACAGTTTTCAATATATTGTGGTTCTAAATGCAGCTATCTTAACACCTTAACAACAATTTTTGGAACGTAAAATAGTTCATAATTCTACATGTACAATAGTGTTCTCTGAATTATAATAATTGGAAACCATAACATGCAAGACTTTGAAGAATATTAAGATAAATATTTATCTTCATGTATTACAGAACATTCTTTTAACAACTGCAGCTCACACACACACACACCTGAAAATGTTAATACGTCCAAATATGACAACGTAAACCTAAGTAAATAATAATTTCTCTTTCATAATTTTTGTATGTTCTAATTTTCCACTATTTCAATTTCTCTATATATTGAATTAAATAATTACATTTTTTCCTAAACAAATAATAATGTAATTATTGACCATTCTAAAAACTACATTCTGTAATTAACAAAATATGTATCAAAATTTTTATTTCATTACATCATTATTCCACAAGTTGTACATTTCTAGTGGACCTAATAAATTGTGTAGATTAAATTTAAAATGATAAAATTTATGTTATAATATCAATTAACACTCAAATGCACATAATGTCAATTCTGTGAAAGCTGCAATTGTGTGGAAGTATATTAAAATTCTTTGGTGCTTAATACCTGTTACAGTTTTCATACTGTTTGAATACAATACTGAGAAATAAAATAAATTTTCCTATTTCAAAATCAATGATTTGCAAGGACACGAGAAGACAAAAAATCTAATTTGCACAATTAACTCTTCAAAACTGCATGGATGGTTGGAAATCAGGAATGTGTAAATAATTTCAAATAAATCATTTTCACATTAAGCCATGACTCAAAAGTGAATGAATAAGACAGATTTTTCCTTTTATCTTTTTCTTCCATTTTCCCTGTTATGTCATCTTTGAAAATACAGAGTTCACAATTAGGAATTGTGAATACTATACCCTTCTCCAAAAATATATTTTTGATACTGAATTTCAAATGAGAGAATGATCGCAACTGGTCATCATGACCGTATCTACGCTATAGGATGGCTTACATTTATATTATGTATGATTATATCTTTGAATATGGACACAAATAAAACATGAATACATCAATTTCTTCTCCATAACTTTTAGACAACATATAAACTCTTCATAAAGAATTAACATAACACAACCATTAGCTACATACATCACACACACACATAAATGTTAACAGCTCACTATAAAGTGTGCATAAAATATGCATTAGTTTCAGTCTAAGAAGTCTCTTCTAAATAATCAAAAAAAGACATAAAAGATGAACAGTTTGTCACAAAATTAAATTATATGAAAAATAGAAATATATAGAAGATTCTAGAACCACTTCAAAGACGAAATAAGCATGAGTTTTTAAAACTGTGAAATAAAAGCATAACAAGAAAGGAAAAGAAATTAAATTAATAGGAAACAAAGGTAATACTAAAGTACAGCAAAATTGTGTGAAGAGAGGAGAATTCCAATGCATACACACATTCACACAGTGTAACACATTTATTACTGTGCCATTCATGCATTGTGTTGCTGTCAGCCAGAGGGACCTCGCAGGCCTGAAGTGAGGCCAGTCATTCTCGAACCCCGGTGGCACACCAAGACCTTCAACAAGGATGAATGTTGATAAGTGCTTCTTTACAGTACATTTTCATAAGCATGAAACATTCTCCCTTGATGCAATTGTCACAAAATATCCTGAAAGCATTTCGAATCTTCAAAGGACAATACTGAGTCTATTAATTTAATGTCACTGCTTGTTTAAAGTTCACTTTCGAGCAAAGAGTATTTCAGTACAAAATCTTCATGAAGACTAATTCAATCAGGAAATTTAGGTGAAGATGTCTGTGAAAGATTCCTAGTGTGAGAGTTCCACATTGGTATACAATCAGAGAGTAGTGGATGACTGGTGTTTTAGTGGATACAATAACTGCTTGTAAGCAGTATTTTCTTATAGAATAAAAGGTTACATATCTTCAAATATGGCTACAGAATTCCTCCCGCAAATCAGAGGACAGTTCGTGCTGCAAGGTTATGTCCAGAAAGTGCAAAATGACCACAAAACAGCAGCCTTAAAAACCTACAGTTGTGCATGCCTTATTGCTTTGTGAATCTCTAGGAAATGGGCAGTTTTCCAATTAGTTGTTTACAAATGTGAAGGTGGTCACTTGGGCCATCCTTTAAGGGATATATGTAGCAAAATAGCATGAATCTCAGACATAAATTGCAAAAATGATTAGTAGTGGGGTCATGAAAATCCTCAACTTTAGCCATATTCACTTCATGACAAAGTTTGGGATTTGGTGTGCAATTTGTGCTAAGGGAAGATTGGACAAATCTTTACTGAAACACTTATATCAGTTCAGTACTGTGAGAGATTCTTGAGCTGCATTTATTATTTGACCAATGAAAAAAAGAATTACGAATACTTTTGGCAACTGCATGTTCAACAGCTATTTCCATGTATGACACAAAATGCTTTGCACATGATGGAGTGCTTTATCAAGCACATTCAATTTCTAGCACGTAGTTCACTAGAGTGAGTCTGATTGCCTTCAGAAGATATGAAGAGTGTACCTGGCTAAATGGCGAACAATTTTGACTCTTTAGGTACCATAAATATGCATAAGGCCAGTCACTCTAGTTTCCTTGCACCACCACCAGATACGGGCAACAGCTAGCAGCAGTTACTGACCAACGACTCCCATCTGGTCGACAGCAGTGCAACATGTGGCCGGCACAGTAATACACACATATATGGAGTCACATACATATATGTATACATGTTTGCATATGTATATATAAATACTGAAAACAAGGAAATAACATTGTTTTTACACATTTTTCTGCTATAACATGAGCATACGACTTACATACACAATGAAATACAAGTAGTCATGAAGATTGTTCACTCCTCTTCACTCTTTCTCTGAAAAGATGCCAAATTGAACAATATGAAAAAAATTGTTACTGTATCCCAAATAAAACTATGATTGATGTGGAATAACATTATTTTCAATAATGGCATGACAAAAAATTTTTGTATTGGCAGATGTATTCATTCATTGGGCAACATAACAGTCTTCAAGTCATTTTCTTCATCTACGCTTGTAGACATAATCTAGTTTTTGGCACAAATCTCCAGTTAGTTCCCGCTCTGAGCCCTTTCTTAATGAGGCATTCAGGGAGAAAAAAAAAATTGGTTTTCATAAAATATGAAATCATCAGCTAATTTCTGTCTGCCTTCAATAACAGTACAACTTACACAAATTTCCCTTTCCATTCTGAACTTCCCAAACTACAAACAAAAATTGTACATACAGCCATTAATGTAATTTACTATGTAAGAAATTACATATTTTGTTGGCGAAAATATGTAAGCAGATAAAACACTTGTACATTTTGATCCTAATGTACTGCATGACTATTACAGCAGCAATAATTAAATTTTCCCAATTTCCATGGTGCACAATTTTTGAGATTCTGTTGACACGACAGCAATACATACATACTATTCCATTTTTGTTAAACAGTAGTAATTTCAACACTGAATCTACAACAATAAGGGTTTTCCTGAAATACATTAACATGCAAGACAGTATCAACTAAAAAAGTTAAAAAGTAAATCAAGATACATATATGGTTAACTCTCAAAATCAGATTTTCACATGAAACAGTTAAGAACAAGAAAACCTAGTATACAAATAACACCACACAATTAGTTCTCTATGAACAGTTTTCACAATCTAACATAGTTGTAGACAATAGTTGCAACAATGATAAAGCAGTATAACATAACATATTTTGGGCTCAGGGGTTTCTCTGAATCATATCCAAAAGGTTAATATTCTACACATGGATATAATTATGGATTGTGTACATCTCGCTCTGCTGGTGATATTTCTTGTCAACTGCACTGATCACCTGATTGCAGCAGAACTGAATTTTTCACAGGATGATTGTTGTGGACAATCTTCTCAAGCAAGGCAGACCAAGCCTGAAAATAACTGGCAACGACATGGTTTACTGCTACACAATATCAACCATTCTGTGCAGCACCTGTAATCAGTTTACAACACCTAACTTCTTACATTTCAAAGTTAGAACAATAAGGGCTACCATTATAATGTCCAGAACTGCACTCACTTGCAACTTCAATTTGCACAACTATAGAAACTGTAACATCTTCCTACTCTGCAAAAAGGTTTTACAGACAAGGCTACCATCAAGATTAGGGAACAGTAAAGTAAGTACTATTCACTGCTTAAAATCTGAATTTGGTGCCGACATAGATGCTTTCAATGTGCAAGCAGTGAAAAGATGTCATTCATGTTACTCATCCTTTAAGACAATATGCTCATGTTGGTTGGAATACAACCATTTCATACTTTTATCAGCAATTTGAAACTCAAATTAGCTCAGCAAAAATCGGTGCCTTCAAATCTAGGTATTAACTTCAAAAGAGTTTTTTCTTAGTTTTTTTTCTTTCTTTCTTTCTTTTCTTTTTTTCTTTTTTCTTTTTTCCCCCTTCTTGAATTTTAGAGCCACATTGGCTTAGAACGCTATACATTCATTCTCTCAAGTTTTCCACTTATGAATATCATCAAGAAATAGTACAGTACAAAATACATATGGGAACATTCATTTATCAACAATTTAAATTTTGTATTTACAAAGAGAGAGAAAAGAAAATTGTAAGAAACAAAAATTTCACTGACCAGAGTTTTGAAAAATATCAAATTTCCTCTTGAATGCAAGATGACAACCATCTCTCAGATCATTCACAAAATACAAAAATCATATTAAGAATTTGAGTTTTCATTTCTTGTGGGAATCTTCACTACTCCTATAAATCCTCTCACTCTGTTCATTTAAAACCATAAATAAATTTCTTACCGATGCTGAGGTTAAAAGATGTTGCTAGCTTTCTTCTAACAATCGAAAGCTAGAAACTAAACTAAGTGGAATTTGCAAATAAACATAAAAATATATTTGAATTGGCACAAATCCTTCTTTCACACGTTTGAGATAAAACTTGCATTTAGGACTGCTTTTATCAGTTCTGGATTATCATCACTCTGGCTTAAAAAAGGTAAAATTCTAATTAAAAACTTTAATTTACCGAAGGTAATTTTTTGCAACACATTGCAAACCCTTCCAATGCCATATTTTCAATTTAAGATGAACATAATTTTAAGTTCAATCTCAATTTTTTGTTTTAAAACAACTATATCACTCTAATATAAGCTTGAAAAATTTTAGAAAACAAAAAGGAGGATAAGTTCTCAGCATTGCAAACAGTGCTGAAATATAGAACATGATAACACTGCTTAAAACAATACCACAAACAATTGCACACATTGTACACTGAGAAAGCTTAATCACATGATTTGGGATACTAGGGATGGATGCAGTCATAAGAACAAATACCAAAAACCATTTATACAGTTATACATAGTTCCCGAATCTGAAAAAAGTTACTGATTGCCGAGCATCAATAATACTATCCAAAACCCTTTTTCAGAATGAATTTTTTCAAACTATAATAATTATTACAAAAATAGAACCACTTAAAAGCAGTCAATACGAATCAGGCTAAAATAGTGTGATCATGCACACAAATTTTAAAGCTTAGGAGTAGTAATAGGTGAAATCACATTCAAAGCTGCAACCATTAATTATCCAGTTCACACAAGTAAATTCTTAAATAGCTGCAAACTGTAAATGTCTTCTGATTATTGTGACAAAATAATTCAACTATCATTTTTTGAATTTCACAGCAAATTAAGCTGGCTTTTTCTACTCGGCAAGCAGCTTGGTTCCAGTACAAACAAACTTAACTATTCTAGAAAACACAGAATTGTAGTAATGTAATCTTTGGTATAGCAACTCAGAAAACAATAGTATACTGTGAAGTATGGACAAAGATACTCCCTCAACCTAATGAATCCTCAACATATCAAAGCCATGTAGGCCGGTTTAAGGTATCATAAGGCTGTCGAATACCAAGTGCAGGGTGGTACCCAGGAGAATAACTTGCAGGAGGTGCCAAGAGTCCTTGATGTAATACCATTGGTGTTCCCGAATGACGCAGCAGTTCCTCAGGATGCCGATGAAGATACTGTTGATACAAAGGTGGTGCAGAGCCAGAAGGATCTACTAATCCTGTCTGATGATTTATAAATGCTTGGGCAAGTGCATAAGGAGGGCGGGAATGACTTGAGAAAGGAAATGGTAAAGATGGGGTAGGAGCAGATGGATGAGAATTTGGATTGATTTTGTCATGATTTGGGTCTGGAGCAGGTATGTAGTAACTTGATGGAGCTGTCCGATAATCTTCAAGATAAGCCGGATAGCCATCTTTCTCAGTACTATATAATCCCAATCCTGAATGAGCAGAGCCAAAATTAAAGGCACTTCCAGTTAAAACAGTAGCTGTCTTCAGGGCAATAGCCGATGGCTCTGATGCATTAGGACTTGTGCTCAAGCCTATGTACTGTTGGAAAGCAGTTGAAGTTGGTGCAGTAGTGACTACAGGAACTTCATTGTTAATCACTGCAGTTTGCTTGCTTTTACGTTTGCGTGATGGTTTTGGAGTTGGCTGAGGATCTGAAGTTTTACTAGTCAAGTGGGTATAATCAGATGATCGACTGTAAGATGTAGGAACACCAATTGTCGGTGAAACAGCAACTTTGTTAGGTAATGTTGTGGATAAATCTGCCACTGACTGATTGTATGATTTAAGATCTACCGGAGTTGCCACTTTGGTTGGTAGTACTGATGATAACTCATTAACAGATCTGTAAGCTGCCTGGGCATTAAGAGTTGATGCTTTTGTTGAATGAATAGTTGCTAATTCAGACATACTCCTATTAAATGGTGATGTGGAACTGATTGGAGAGGAACTCTTTGCAGGAAGAATAGTAGAAAGATCTTGAACTGTTCTACTGTATGGAGCTTGAATATTAGATACTTTGTTTGGTAATACTGACGGTAATTCGGCCACAGATCTGTTAAAAGGAATGGATGATGGTGATATCTGACTTTCATGATTATATGCTATAGTCATAACAGGAGGTGATGGTTGTGTCAAAAGAGCCATAGCAGATGATGGTGATGCTGCTGATGTTGAAGATGATGATGAAGATACCGAAGGTTGTAATGTGTTTGGAACAGCAGGTCTGAATACGTATTGAGAATTCAGTCCTTTTTCTCCAAAAAATGGTGAAGATGGAGATGCCAATCCAGGAAGTAATCTTTCACTAGCTGGATATCTATCAATTACATGTGACAAATTGCTCAAATTTCCATGCAAAGCCAAATGTTCCATTCCTATAGAAGTTGGTGGTACTGGTGAGAATGGTCCTCTGTGGTAACTTATGTCATTTCCATGTAAGGGTGCATTTGTATTTGATTTTAATCGTTCAGGTACAGAGCTAGGACTTGTAGAAGTAATACTTGTTGCATGTAATCTTCCAGGGCGTAAGCTTTCAACACACGGTTCCGTCACAGACTGTACAATGTCAGATGCAGATGCAATTGGCTGAGATTTCTCTGTGACTTGTTGCCCTTCCAATTTTGCCGAGTACTCTTGGCGTGACTGATGATTAACAATGTGTGCAGATGTAATAACAGGCACAGAAGTGTGTTGAATTCTTACAGGCTTTAAGCCTTCATCATTAGGAGAAGAGAGATTATCAGAGTTCTCCAATGTGCTGTGTTTTTTTCCAGAACTTTGCCGAGGCACAAATTGGATCTGTGGTGTTTGTGCTACTGACTCCTTTAAAGGTGATGGACTGGGCAGGACAGATGGGTTACACTTTGAATATTCTATAAGAATCTCTGGAGACGACTGTTGGAGCCTGTCTGCATTTTCAAGAGAGCTATTTGTGTTGGTCTGCAATGTTCTGAAGCTCTGATGTTTCTTTGACATATGCACAGAATGTTCTGATTTTTTTATTACAGGTTCGCTTATAGCAGATTTTCTTGCATGGTATATCTTTTCGCATGCAGGTACTACAATTTTATCAGAAACTTCAAGTGGAGAACAAACAGATCTGTTGTGATGTGCATTATCAATAATAATTAAATTTTCTGGAGGGAGCACTCGAGTTGCGCTCTGTGAATGTGCTGGAGGGGGCGAGAGTTGGGGGACAATTGACGGTGATTGATATCTATTAGATGGTTGTGAAGAACTGCCCAATTCTATTTCACTGTAAAGTCGTTTCTTCACAGGAAAAATGTTCACTGATGATTTTTGTGAAGAGGTTGTAGATGGTGTCGCTGCTGCGCCTCCTCCTGCTGCTGCTGTAGCTGCACTTGCAGCTGCAGCTGCAGCTGCAGCTGCAGCTGCTGCTGCTGCAGTAGCTGTGGTTGCTATTACAGAAGTTGATACTGTTCCTGCGAATGTTGTTACTGTTGAAATTGTTGAAGTTACTTCTACAGAGGTCTGAGGACTAGAACAAGTTGACACTGGAGTAGCAACTTCTGCAGAAGTTGGGCTGTTTGGAGAATACGCATCAGATTCCTGGGTTCTTGCAGCTCTGTACTGATCTGTCAATGGTTTACTTGTATCATAGTATGTCATGAGTGGTCCTGAATATGATGAATTTTCATAAGCAGCATCTGAAGTTGGTGTTGGCGGACCTGACAGGTGATTCTGATACGTTAAGAAGCCTCCTGGATCATGAGGAGGGTACATTCGAGGACTGTAGGTAGGAAATGCACCACGTGTTTGCTCTTTTGGACTATGGCTACTATTACATGTCTTCTCAGGACTGCTTTTCTGTAGTGAAAATGATGTATCTTGATAAAAACCAACACGAATAGTCCCATTTAATGGGGGATAAGAAGCAAATTTTGGTCCTTCTTCGGACCTTGGGGATGATATAACAGGAGATGCTGCCATAGGTGACTGATGAATTGGAGATGGATAAGGTGCAGAGTAACTTCCCAGACGCTCATCTAAACTCAATCTTGGAGAAGAACCATCAACCGGATCCATCAAATCTTGGCTGAAAGATGATCGTTCAGAAACAGTACTTCCTGTGCTAACTTTTCTCTGACGTGGAGTACCTTGCTGATTGCTATTTACTTGAATAGGACTTGACACATCATCTCCATTTCCTTTCTGTTGGAGTGAACATCGTGAATCTGCTTCTTGTAATCTTGAATCAACTACAACAGGTTGTCGAGAAACATCATGAACAATTACTGAATGTACTTCTGCAGGAATATTTTTATCAGTTGTTGATTCAATGGCGAAAATACTAGTAACATCTCTCCGTTCTTCTATATTAATGATATCACTAGATGCTCCATCCTGAAGAGATTCTGGTCTCTTTTTTGTGGTAGATGTTGATTTTGGTGCCCCAAAAGCTTTAAACCAAGCACTTAAATTAGGCATAGCTTTCTCCTGTCGGCAATCTTTATTAACAGTTTTCACATCTATTTCTTCCTTCTCTTTTTTCTCAGTACTTTCTTCTGTGTTTTCACATTCCAAAGGAGACTCAGGAGTCTTTGGTCTCACATCGAGAACAGGTTTTGGTGGTTCTTCAGGTACCAATACTGATTTGACTTCTTCTTTGGTTTCTGCATCAAAATTGTGCTTGCTTTGGCCTACACCAAAACCTAAGACATCTGTACCTAAAACTGTCCCAAGACTTAATTTGGGAGTAGCTTCATCTGGAACTGGGAATAAAATACCACGAGTATCCTTTGGTTTCCCAGGGGGTCCTTCTTCTGATACTTTCCCTGCATTCTGAATGTTGGTAATCAAATTCCCCTTACTCTTGCCTGGCTGGAGTCTCTCAATTGTACGTTGGACTTCACGCCGCCGCATCTGCTTATTTGGATCCTTACTTGACCTCCTTTTTGAGTTGTCCTGAAAATAAAATTCACAGTTAAAGGTAAACCACTATACATGCACACAAATTGAAACCAGTTCCAACAGGTAAAGCAAATGCAGAAACTGAAATCACATGTATCAACAATGCACAATAAACTTCAGATCTATCATACACACAATTTTTAATTTTTGAGGTTGCAATAAATCAAGCACCTATGAGGATGAAACAAAGATAAATGAACAATATTGTAACACTTTTACGTGAAGTTTAAATCTGAATTGAAGCTTATTACACATGTAGGAACATACAGCAAAAATTATGTTATTAAAATAAACAATGTATTTTAAATAGGACTCTCAAGTATTTTTTAAACATCCTGATAACATTCACAAATTTTTCAGTGGCATACAACTTAGGTGACAGCATGAATTCAAACCAGATATTCTGAGTAAGTCTCATGTATTACAAATGCAAGGTAGTTAATATATTGTTTCAATTGATTCTTGTTCAGAAATAACACTATGAATAACATTGTGTATTGTGTATTTCTTAAATTATGCAGTTTTCTCCATTGCAGATTTGGGTAGTGCAAGTTCCTGGTCCCCTAAGCCCCCTAAAACTCTGCTGAAATCTCCAATGAGTGTGAAGAAGAATTACACACTTTCACTGAATCTGACATGAGATGTGGTGAAGAATCTTCTTCTGATACAGAAAATAACAAAAAAGGTCTTACAGAACATAATGAAATTGATAGAATACTGGAAATGGCCATTAGTTAAGAACAAAATGTGGCGAGTAGCAAAGTGGGTGTAAAATAAATGAAACACATCAAAGAGAGAGAGAGAGAGAGAGAGGAGAGAGAGAAGGGAGAGAGAGAAGGGAGAGATAGAGAGGAGAGAGGAGAGAGAGAGGGGAAAGAGGGGAGAGAGAGGGGGGAGAGAGAGGGGAGAGAGAGAGGAGAGGGGGGGAAGAGAGAGGAGAGGGGGGGAGAAGAGGGGGGGATAGACGGAGGAAGAAGAAGAGGGGAGAGAGAAGAGGGGAGAGAGAGGGGAGAGAAGGGGGGGAGAAGAGGGGGGGAGAGAGAGGAGAGAGAGGAGAGAGAGAGGAGAGAGAGGAGAGAGAGAGGAGAGAGAGAAATATATCATGGATGAATCAGACATGGAGAACTTTACATGGTTTGCAGTTAATGATGGCTAAAGTATTTGTAATACCTAAGGTAAACTTATAGTTTGGTACAATAATCTAATTATTTTTGTATTGGATTTTCGTTTCACTATTGCATTTCAAGAGATACTTTCAGTTTGTTAAGGCACAGAGTTTTGGTTGAACCATAGGTCTGTTAGAATGTCCAGCATAACACTAATATTTTCTACTTGAAAGCAATAAATAAATGGTAAATTGGTACATCTGATGTATATCTATTCTCATTTTATGTACATACTCAGTTCAAAATATTTTTCAGCGTCTTCCTACAACTACAATATGTACAATATACTACAATATTCAAATCAGAGATTTCAACAATCATGAAATCTGCACCATTCTCTTAAACTTCCTTTACACTGCTCAAGGAAAAAGTTTCATTAAAAAAATTTGGAACCATTTTGAAATTTGGAACCATTTGGAAAAAATTTGAAAATGTTGAGGTTTCATGTACAGTACCTTTAAAAAATCCAAACATCCGTTTGAGGCTCCCAAAGCCTCGAGTTAGTTCAGATCGATCGGGGAATATCAATTTTGGAGAAAATCGGCTGAACAGTTCAGGCGCTACCATTGACCATGGACAGACGGGCAGACGTTTTGCCTTCAACCAATTTTTCGGTATCAACGACCCAAAACAAGGATTCTGGCTACACCACGTGTTAGAGGAAGTAATTTACTATGTATGGGAACAGGATTTATGCACGTTTTTGTTACTAGGGTCCAACAATAAGAGTTTTTCTGTCGAGAATTCGCTGTTTTCCGTCGTACGATTACACTTTCTTTTCTTATGATGGACAAGAAAGTAAAAATTGCTGATGACTTCACTTCAATATCTAATTGGGACCTGCACCCTTTTTATAAGCGTACTATACTCTACTCGAGAACAAAAAATTAAAGAAAAAATTTCGACCGTTATTGAGAAAATATTGTTTTTAAAATTGCCTATATTTCACCCCAAAATACCTGACAACTATTAATATATTGAAAAGCTTGTACATGAGGTCGTTTAAAAAACAATTTTTGAAGAACAGACTTATGTCAGGGAAAATTATCTTTAATATTGCAATTTTCGAAAATTCAGAGTTCACCGAAAATGAGTCCTGCGCCATTTTAAAACGTATTTTGCTCTAACCTAGAAAAAAAATCAAAAAATTCAAAGCTATTTTTGAGAAAATACAGAAAATGTTAGGGTTTCATGTAAAATACCCTCAAAAATGAACATATTTTTAAAATTCCAAGGGCACGAGTTTGGACAGATCAGTGGGGGAATGCCAATTTTGGGGAAAACAGTTTGAGTGCTAGTGTTGACTACATACAAACAGTCATTTGACTTTAAACCAAATAATTTGCTACAAATTGCCAGATTTATCCACTTTTTGATAACATGGATTCACAAAAAAGTTTTTGTCGAAAAATTGCCACTTTCCGCTGCAGTATAATACTTTCGCTGAAGTACATAATAGGTGAGAGTAAAAATGCTCACAGAATTCTGGAAACAATTGTTTACAGATGAAGATATGCTAATTATGAGTGTTGATAGCACAAATAAATACAATGAGAAACTCACAATAAATTATTCTAACAAATACTTACACATGCTACAACCTTAATTATAGAAAAGTGCTAATTGGATTATTCAGAATAGCTGATGTATTGTATACAGGAAGAGTGTGCATACAGGTGAAAATGTCCTGGGTACAAGACGGAACAGGAATAGAGACATTTTGGGCTACATAAACCTTACAACAAAGATTTAGATTTTTGTCCGGTGCTATACGTTTGGGAGATTTTGAGACATGTGCAGAATGTTATTTTAATAAACTAGTTCCAATACACTATTATTTGAGTTATTTGTAGAGGACTGCAGAAACAATTTTTCAATTTTGATTTTTGCTGCTATGGATGAAACACTTGTTCTTCTTGGATAAGATGTGCATACCACAAGTATGTAACCCATATTTTAAAAAACGAGGCCAACAACCCATTGCTAGTCGGACGCGTAGAGCATACGAATACCCAGTGTCTCCTGTGTTTGGCGACATCGGGAACACTCATAATAATTGCGCATTTCCACTCATTGGTCTTTTTCTGTGTCCCCTGCGGGTAAAGAACACCCCGTCTAGTTTATATTTTGAAACTATAGTCGTGACATCATGAACAGCAAGACATAGAGCTCATATTTGACGACGCTGCAAAAGTGTCTTGTGGTCGGCGCAGGGCGAATGTTAACACGTTTCGTCACAGCAGTTTTGGAATTTCATTCTACTGTAAAATTTTACGATTTTAGTTTCGTAAGAAGTAAAAACAGTTTGTGAGTTTCCGATAAATTACTGTAGTTTGCTCTGAATGATGTATCTATGGACCGAGGAGGGGGATATCTTCCACAATAAAACCAGTGCGCCATGAAAGCAACTGTAAGGGTAGAGTAGTGAAAATATTTAGAGGGGGCCTCAACATTTTATTGCGCCTGGGGCCATTGTGCTTAATTCGCCACTCATCATGACCAGTCACGGACTGATCTGCTCGATATCAGTTCGTGACTCTTTCACTCGTACACTGCCAATACTAGCGAAGGTCGAGAAAAGTAAAGAGATGATATTGAAGATATCCCAGAACTAAAAATCTCAGCGCCGAAGCCCAGCAACGGGCCACCATACGCTTCTTGACCCGACTGTCCAACAGGCAGAAAACAGCTCCAAAATTTGGAAAAGAGATTCGTAGCAAAACGTGATTTCCTGGGCGTTAAGAATAGTCTTAAACGCAGTGAAACTCCAACTTGGTCATTTTGCTTTTAATTACCATCCAACCAGGGCCTCTCACGAAAGCTCTTCCTAAACACACCCTATTGAAAGGAAGCATGTAACATATGATAGTAGTAGTATCGAGAGTTATATTACACCCAAGGGTGTCTCTCGCATCCCAACCTCCATATCTCTCTATCGGTGTAGTCTTCATTACTTAATCCTCTCTTCACCATTGCCTCATCCACTCTCCCTCTCCCCATGGAAGTCTAGGTCTTCCTCTTCGTGGGTTGCTGGTTGCCATTTCTACAATATTTTGGGCCAACGCTCTTCGTTCATTCTTTTCATGTGCCCATACCATTTTAGTCTTTTCACTTCAATGGTGTCACTTATATTAAAACTCACTTCCGCTTTACGTTTAATTTCTTCGTTCTTAACTTTATCCATTAAAGTCAGTCCGCAACTTCGGCGCCAGAAATCCATTTCCATTACCTTCAATTTCTTTTCGCTCTTTTTTGTTACTTCCCATACCTCAGATCCATAAAGAGTAATATTCTCTACAAGTCTTACATCATTTTTGTTTTACACTCTTTCTTAATTTATCTTTCCAAATCAGTGGATGTAATTGTTTTATAGCCACTCTACAGTTTGTAATTCTGTTTATATCTTGCGTACTGCCTACATTTGCGTTTATTTCTGAACCGAGTATTTTTGATAAGGTTTTACTTCCGAACCATCATCCAGTTTCAAACCTTTACCACTTCCTCCTACAACCATATACTCAGTCTTGTTAAGGTTTATTTCCAAACCCCATTTCGAGGACTCTTCATATAATTTTCGCAGCATATATAGAGCATCGTCATCTTCAGCGAACAGCACCTGATCATCTGCGAAGTGTAGAGAGAATAATAGAGTCACCAATTTTAATACTCATATTACAACATTTCTTCCTCCATCTTCTCAGGTCTTCAATCAAATATATTTCAAACAAAGTCGGAGCTACACAGCACCCCTGTCGTAAACCTTTACTGGAAATGGTGCTGAAATGTTTCTCCCTACTTTTATTTGGCTCATATTATCCCTGTACAAAT